GGTGGCCCTGGTCCATGAGGTCTTTTTTGGCAAGGTAAAAGGAGCTCCTGCTGCTTGTCCCCTGCACTTGGTTCATAATCCATGGAAGAGCACTTGCTTATGTCCACCCCTTGGACTGAACAGTCCTCAGGATGTACTTGCCTGTCTGTTTCCCTTTGAGCGACTCCACATCATATGTCTCATTCCTCTCTCTAGATCCAGTGTCCATCAGTGCACCTGCCCAGAGTAGTTCAGTACGTGCTCAAATGAAGGTCTCTTTTAATATCCCATGTTTTACCACAGTGTTTGCCAGATGCTGGGTGGGAGGAAGGGTGCGATCTAATAAAAAAGCAGCTAACCTTAAGAGGGAAGATGCCCTGAGTAATAACTCCAGGTGACAACTGAGTGCTTTATATCGGTGAAGTCAGGATTTTTCTTTTGTCCTGAAAGCTAATGTAGTTTTAAAATAATATTTATTGCCACAGGACAACTAAGTTCAGTATACACAGGGGCAGCGAGGAGGCCTATAGACAAAGCCAACGTTTCCTCTATGAATGTTTTTAAGCATTTGAAGAAAACGGTTGGGCTTCTAGAATTCTTCTTAATAGTAGAGGACGTCTGGTGACCATATGTCCTGGACTTTCTGGGGACAGGCCCAATTCCATGTAATTAATTCCATTTCAGAAAGGTGACTTAATCTATGTTTCATTCATTTCAATTTTTATAGTTTCATATAATTTTATAAATATGTAAATTCACAAATCAAAATAAAAAATCTCTTGTCAGATATTGTGTTCTAACTATGGATTCTCAAAATGTGGTCCTAGTAAAGGCATCTTTAGGCTGGAGACTTTGGGGGTGAGGAGTAATTTGTACTTTTAGAAATAATTCACTAATAGGCCTAATCTCTTAAGATCCTTCTTTGTCACAAGTGATAAAAAAATGTGTATCTGTTAGCTCTTGGCCATAACAAATACGCCAAAAACTTAATGGCCTGAAACACCAAGTGTTGCTCATGATTCTGTGGGTCAGAAATTCAGACCTGGTTCAGCCGAGAGATTCACATGCAGCTGCCATCATCTGATGGCTGGACTTGGGCTAAGTGGCCTAAGATGGCCTGCTTTCCTGGTTTGGCATTTGATGCTAGCTGTTGGCTGGGCCAGGCTATCCTGCACGTCTTCACATGATAGCAGCATTTCAGAGGGGCAAGTCCAAAAACACCAACACTTTCCAAGCTTCTGTTTGTATCGTGTTTGCTGATGCCCCATTGGCCAAAGGAAGTCACGTGGATAATCCTAGACTCAGCATAGGAGAGGGCTTCCCAAGGATAAAGAGACAGGAAGTGCTATTCCCTGGGAGCCCAGCACTGGTACAGTCTGCCACAACCTATCATCAGCACAGCTCCATTGTGACATGGTACCAGCACAGGCATCCATTTCACCTAGAAACTCAATCAAGTTGTCTGCATATGAAATAAAAGAAGATGTGGCATAGCAATATGGAAAAGGGTTGCATCTGTTATGTAAAGATGGCTGCCTACCATGGATGTTAGTAGTAGTAGCGCAACAGTATAAACTCAAAGAAATGTTAATAGCTTTGGCTTCCATCAGGTTTGTTCAGGTTGTTGGATATTAGATAATACTAAGAAGCTATTTTAGGTAGGATAGCGTATGGTGGTTATGGTGTTTAGAAATCCTTATCTTTAGGAATATATACTGAAATATGTACCTCAAAAAACTGGCTGTGCGAGGTCGGGAGCACACAAGGGGTGGGGTGTAAATGAAGCAACATTGGCCAGGAGCAGATCACTGCTGAACTATCACAGGTGTTGAACACATCACAGTCTTAATACTCTTCAACGTACTTTGTGTATTTTTGAAGATTTCCGCAGTAAAATGTTAGAAAGAATGCCCAGATCATTCAGTGGCCTCAAAGACTGGTGGAAGGTCACAGGAGCCTCCTGAAGCTGCTCCTAACTGCTTTCCCAGTCGGGGGACAGGGCGGAGGCGGGGGTCAACAAGCAGTCAGTGCTGGGCCCTGGAATCCGTGTGCTTCTCATCTGAGTTTTAGTTTACAAACACTGTTCCTCATTTAATTAAAAGAGTTAGGAGGCATCTGACAGGCATCCAGCAAACTCCATCATTTGGGGGAAGTTGGAAATCTTTTGGGACAGAATTGCTTTCACCTTGTGTTCTCATGGAGGGCACTTGTGGTATGTACAGTTAATTAGATTTGTGACCACAGATTATGAATAAGTCTCGTAGTGAGTTTTGGTCTCTCCAGGTGTTTTCCAGCTCTTAAGGTCCTTGACTTGAATCTGTAGGGCTCTCTAGAATTGGAAGAATTTGGAGCTTCCACTGTGGCCCTAATGTAAAAGTAAAATCTCTCTTCCTGCCATCAGCAGACACTGCTGAATCTAGGATTCATCTTGTAAAACAAAACCACGAGCTAACACCAGCCCCAAGTTTCATGTTAGACTATTCCTGCCTGCCAAGCCCGAGGCTGCTGTTGGCTCAGCTGGGACTCTGGGCCTTCTCGCCCCTCCACGCACTCTTTTCTTGTTTTAAGGAAATAGATGTTCTGTTGAAGATCTGAACATTAGAAAATCCCCCATTGGATTCCATTTTATGGTGGTGTTTGGTAATTTTTCTAGAATTTTCATTTCAACTCTCTGATTGTCTATCTTCCTTGACAAAAGGCAGTTAAAGTGGATTTTACTTTGTACACACAGTGTGCGCATCTGAAAGGAACTGTGAGCAGACTGGTATTTGATCTTTGGATCTCTGAGGTTAGACAGGAATTAGAAATAGCTGAACTCTACTTTAGCCCCTAATCTTGTTATTCCAAATGTGTGCTTAATAAGAAGCAGAATCAATACCTCAGGTCAGAATAAGTTCGAATGGTCTAGAATTTTTATATCTCAAAATGAAAAAAAAGCAATTGTCTAGAAATACTGAAAAATATTGTCCTTGGTTAGGTACAAATCATTTTCAAATTTTCCGCATAAAATGCCATTTGAAGTGTTGAAGTTGAGATGGTAAACCAAATGTATGATTTCTTGGTTCTTGCAGTTAAACTGGAGAGAGGAACCCTAGGAAACAGACTTTCCAATGAGATTTTATAACAATAGAGCTTTTCCTGAACTCATATCAGTTCTTACCTCAAACCTCTCCAAATTATGTCTGGTTAGTAAATTCAGAGGCACAGAATAGTCAAAATAGTGTTGAGTTGCCTTTATGTGTCTGAGAGTTTGTTATAAAATGTATCTGGCAGAGAGACAGAAGAGCTTTCGCTTAGTTCACCTTCTCCAAAGGCAAAAGCTAGAGGAACCTGGAGATGGAGAAGATAAAGGAAGGTTCACTCTTGTGAAGAAGGCCACATTCTCAGGAGCTCATTCCTCTGGACCAGCAGGAGAGTGGCCAACCTGGCCTTGACTCAGCCAAGCTCACCTTGTTTTGATGAACACTGCTGCCGAAACTTTGGACATAGGGGACCACTGATTCTGCAGAAGCCAGATTTTCTGTAGATAAATAGGTGATATCAAGGCCATATGGTATGATTATCTCTCTGTGTCTGTATGTTACTTCTCCATTCTTATATCAGGACCAAGTTGTGAGAAGTGACTGAGAACACCCGAAGGCTGGATCACTTGCACCTTTGGGGACATGAGACTATGGGTCTCCATGGTTGCCACGTAAGAGAGACTGCTAGACTTGGTGGAGCCTGGCTTACCTGGGCTTCAAGGTGACTGACTTGCCAGGTCTGTGCAATGGAGAAATTGGTGGGCATCCTATGCCCCTTCATCTAAGGGCATAGGTTATTGAGTCATATTTATTGAGTACCAGCCACAGGGAAAGCCCCACTCTAGCTGCTTTATGTAAATTATCCTCATATATGTTATTTGTACTACAAACCTGCAAATGTGGTACTTACTTTCCTCATTTGGTGGGCCAGAGAGAAGGCAGGTAACTTGCTGCAGGCCACACCAGATTTGTTCATGGCATAGCCAGCTTGCACACAGAAGTCTAGTCAATGACAACCTGTGCTCTTCTTACTGTCCAGTTTTAGAGAAGCTAGGCATAAAAAAAACATTAAGGAAAGTGGAGCTAAAGATGAGTTAGCCCATGGCTGCGAAGAGTGAGCGTGGAAAAGGAGCAGAGCTATGCCCAGTTCAGATCGTTAGTGTTGATGTGAGGTGAACAAGCTGTGGGATGGGATCCAGGACAGAGCAAGGTTAGGGATGGTCCAGCTGGGCCTCTAGAAAGGGCATCGACTAGGAGCAGGACCAAATAGCGCTTGGAAGAGGGGAGGAGGGTGTGAGTGACAAAGTGTAAGCCCATTGTTTTCCTGCACAAATATGCATCACTTTTAAGAGGAAATTTTTATAAAATTTTATTCTTGGGGTCAGGTCTATTTCTGGTATCTATTTTGCACGCTTCTAGTTTAACTCTAGGCTCCACCCCCAACCCTGAGACCAGGCTGCTGAGGGTAGTTGCTAACAACAGAGCTGTGTGAGATTCTGCAACCAGGTAGTACCTTCTACGGCACTAGGTCTCTGAAAAAGGTCTGCGGATGAGGCTGGTTCCCCTCACCTGGATCTTGTGGCTCTCCCCTCTGACCAGAGTCCTTGCTGTGCTTAGCTTTCTCGTTGGGAAAGCAAGCTCAGGAACCATGAGGAGCCTGAAGGCTTCCTGCCACTGGGCTTCAGGAGGACATCTGCCTCCTGGACCAGAGAAAAGCAAAGGGTGGCCTAGAGAAATGACAAAGCTGAGCTCCAGGGTAAAAATGCCATCCAATACAAAACATTTCTTAGACCTATTCAGGATACTTGTCTTTTCAGTGTGCATTTGATTGGGTAAATACACAGTGGCAGGCATCTTTCAGTCTGCAGACTGTGCTTTGGGTCAGTCTGGCTGTGAAGGCCTTTTGGAGAAGCTACGGCCACGGAATGGGGTGAGCTTGACGTGCACAGTCTCCTTTAGGGGCTAGGAAAGAATCGAAGGCTTTCTCTGCTTTTGCAGGTGGCACTCCGGCACGAGGATGGTGATGAGACAGCTGAGCCACCACTCAGTGGGCGCCGGGACCGGAGGAGGGCCAGCATGTGTTCCGGAGGCAGCGGAGCTGAGCACCGGGGCCTGGACCGCAGGCGGAGCCGCAGGCACTCGGTGCAGAGCATCAAGAGTCCTCTGTCAGCTCCCACCAGTCCCTGCTCCCAGTCTGCTCCAGGCTTCCAGCCCTGTCAAGTGCGAGATCTCCGTGAAAAGTAAGTGTTCACCCAGCGGTGGGGAGGGACGAGAGACGGTAGGAAGGGAGTTCCCCACCCCACTGGTGCCCGCACCCCACCCCACGTACTCTCCTGCCTCTTCTCCACCATTAAAACACCACCCAAAGTTGCCATGGAGCTACCCAGAGCAAGGTGGTCCTAGTGACAAGCACAGATTTGTTCATTATTGACCCCATGAACTCTTCTCTACCCCCTTGTGTTTTTATATGATTTAATATCTCAGTTAACACCTGTTTAGAAAAGCTTTGCTTAATTATATGGTAAAGAATCCAAAACACAAAGCTTTGGCCTAGAAATAAATGCCACCACATACACGTGACCTTGTAAGAGTTTGGAGATAACACATGACAATGCTTTAGTTAAATAGAGCAAATCTGTAGGAGTTTCAAAATACACATACATAAATATAAACTATATAATTCTATATAAAGTTTCAGTAAATACAAATGTTATCATTTATTTAGTCAGTCATACAGCAAACATTTTTCTTAAGTGTCTGTTATAGGCCAGGACTATCTGAAACCATGAAGATATATAAATGGAAAAGGTATGATCTCTGTCCTTAGGAACCTCAAATCTGGGTTGGGAGAAAGTAAGGATGAGGAAAGTAGATGGGAAGAAGTAGATAGGTTGACAGTCCCACGAGAAATTATACATATCCAAAATATAAAGTTTGACAAAACCTAAGGGAACTCAGAAGAGGTTCCATAAAACACAGGTGCAGCACAAGGATGGCCGTGCGATGCTGCCCTGGGATTGGGCCAGCTCTGCCTCCCTGATGCTGTCGGAGCACTAGAAGGATGGGGCTCTGGGGGCCAGGCTGTGCCAACTGGGTCCGCCGGGCTGACTGATACAGTTGCCAGTGCACCACTTCCTGCTGCCTGCAGGGTGGAAGCCCTGCTCACAGCATTTGGCTGGAGCATTTGCCCCCATCATGGAGATCCACCCGGGAGCCATATGTAGGTCAGGAGGCTGCATGGTGAAGAACATAACTCGGAATAAGTTGGATGACCTTAAATGAGTGATCAAGATATGTCCTTTTCTCTCCATCCCTAAGGGACCACCTACCCCCACCACTGAGAAGTGCCCTGAGGGGTCTGATATTCATGGAATGACTGCAGTGCAAACCAGGCCATGCCTTTGGGTGCCTTCTATTGCAGGAGGTGGAGGGATTGGTCTGAGAGTGATGTGCAAGGCAGGGTCCACGTTGTCACCTTTCTCTTCCAAGTAGGCTCTGGTGTTTCTGTTTCTGAGTGTCTGTGTACAACAAGCTCTATTTCAGTGAAAAGAAGACTAAAACTCCTAAAAAGATTGATGGAAGAGAACACCTACCGTTGACATTGCATTTTGCGATCTAATATCTTCCAGAAACTCTGGCCGTGCTCAAAGGCCCCTGAAGCTCTCTCCGGTGCTGCATCTACTAAGCTTGAAAAGTTAACATGGAGAGAGTTGAAGAAAGTGTACACAATGGGCTGAAAAATCTGTATTTAACACCACCAAAGATGCTGAGAATGGTAGTTAGGAGACATTACTGCAGCACTTTGTGACCTTTTGCTCTGTCTGACTTGTGTCATGTTTGTTTCTGTTCTATTTCTTGCTGTTACACTTTTCAAAGGTCCCCGTGTTGTGAGCTCAGATGACAGTGCCTTGTGGTAGGTAACAGCAGTGGAGTGGGCCATCCCTGGCCCAGCTCACAGTTTCGAGGCGCCAGGCTGGATGGGACCTGGAAGGGGGAGACCACAGACACCGCTCCAGGTGTGGTGCTATCTCAGTATTTTCAAACAGAGCTGATTTTTCATTTTACCAAAATTATCACCTTCATGTAAATTTTGTAGCATTTTTTTTTTTTTTTTAGAAAAATAAAGTTTCTAGCTTATAAAGGCAGATGAGGCCTTACAGGTTGATGATTATGATGTGGCTTCATCCACAAGGCCCGTTGAAGGGATTTTGCCGGATGGCCCCAAACGACAGAACAATTTTGGCAGAGCTGAGAGTGGGACAGAGGGAAAGGGCGACGAGAAGGTAAATTGGAAATGATCTCCACAGGCATAGCTCAGTCACCTGCTCAACATCTGTGCCTCTAAACATTACCTTAGTATGAAGTAATTCATTGTGTTAGATTCCCTGTAGACCTTGAAAGACACAGAAGCATGCCTGACCTAGATTACTCTTCATCTACCTGAATGTTCTGGCCCAAGCTGTTGCTAACTTATAGCAACATGCCCGCATATGCCACACAGGAGGAATTTCAGGCCGGATTTTATAGCTCTGTAACCCAACTAATGCTGATATCTTTAAAAAGAAGATAAAAATGTTAAAGTTTAGAATGAGATTCATTATGTCCTAAAATGCATATGGCACTCTGCCCTGAGTTGGCCCTTGTACATCATTAGGCCATTACATCGTTTAATTCTCACATTGTTCCTCTGTAGGATCCAGGCAGGATAAGCAGCATTGTCCTCCTTCTACAAGTGAAAACACAGTCAGAGGGTTGGTGCCTTGAGAGGAATCACAGGACTAAGCAGCTGAGCCATGGATTAAATTCAAGCCTTTGGTCTTTGCTTTTCAATGTCTAAATTGGACAAAACCACTTCCCAACTAATAATTCCTAAATGTAGTCATTGAATGAGATTTACACTTCTGACATTTTAGAGAGAGAATTTTATTTACATACCATGTAGATGTGTTTCTATTAAGGATAAATATAAAACTTCAAAGAGCTGAAAAGGAGAACATCTTCAGGTCTCCTTATAGACTTAGGCATGCTGGACCATGTGCTTTAATTCAAAGGACTGATACAACTCTACACTCATACTGCTTTGCTTTGGTTTCTGAAGAAATAGAAACCAAGTCTCACGAAGTGCTTACCAAATAAGTTATGTCAGTTGGCCATCTGGCACCTACAAGTGTCTTTTGTGACTATGTGTGTTTCATCTTTGTATTTAAATTTACAGATTTGATTGAAAGGGACAAAAATGTTGCCATTTCCATTTTTTTTCCAAGAAAACTTATTTTTACTGTCTAATCAGCAAAAGAACCAGTGTCTCTGGCTTAGATTGTAATAGTGTATAATCTTAGGACTCAGAAGCCTTCCAGGCTGTCTCGCCCAGCACAGAAGCCCTTTCTGTGCCCTCCAGGCTCTGGCACTCTCCTCACCAAGGCCCCGCATTCTATCCTTGTATTTTCCTGCTTGTTAGGAAGGCCATTTGACCTAAATTTGCTCCATAATGTTATAGCTCTATTATTGGCTTAGTGTTCTATTATATTTCCCCATAATGCTTTCCTATTTATCCTGTTTCTTACCTCCGTCAATGCGCCAGGCCTTGCTCCTGCTCTATCTATCTGGTAGATAGATAGTCTGTCTATCTGGTAATGAGCATTGCATGGGACTTAATACATGAACTTTAAATTTCATCCTGTTGATTTCCACACAACATTCCAGCCCTTAGAGGTAATTTTGAGCTTCATTCATTCACTGATGTTCGCAGTTGTGCCGTCCAGCATTCAGCCGTGTGTATATTTTGACACACATGGAAGAGTGACCTGGCAGGTTGCAGATGATGACAGCGGGTTAGGAGTGGCTGGTGCACACTACTGCCATGTGCCTCAAAGCCAAGGGTTGGAACCCTCTTCTGCCAAGGGCCAGGTAGTAAATGTCTTACACTTTGTAGGCCAGACAGCATCTGCTGCAGCTACTCGGCTGGGTTCTGCCTTTGTAGCATAAAAGCAGCTGGAGTCAACAGGTAAACAAATGAGCATGACTGCATTCCAGGGACACTTTATTTATGGGCACTGAGATTGGAACTTTACATGTCATGAAATGTTCTTTTGAATTTTTTTCTAACCATTTCAAAGTGTGAAAAACCATTCTTAGCTGCCAGACTGTATAAAAGCAGGTGGTGGGCCAGATCTGGCCTTCAGGTTGTAGTTTGCCAGCCCCTGTCCTGAGCAGCTGGGTTGCTTGAGGGAAGTTAGGAGAAAAATGGTCTGGAATTGGCAAAGAGGAGTGTGTAGGGTCTGAGAGAAGAACCCTTCATGCCATGTGAGAGGGCTGTAGGGAACAGTGTCCTTAGAACAAGGAATATTCCATGAGGAGAGCCTGACTACAGGGGGTTTCGCTGATGGCTGCTCATGAGTTCCCACGGCGCAGTGGAATATTGAGGGGGTTGGAGAAGGCAGGGGATGAGTCCAACCAGGGGACTCGTGGAGCCAGATGGGAGAAAGGGGGCTTGGTCCTGAGGCTGGGAACGGTTGGGCTGCTCAGGGACGTGGAGGCAGGCTGGGAGCAGTCCCAGGGGCCCTGGAAGGCAGGGGTCCTGAACAACAGGTAATTTTGTCCCCCAGGAGGTATCTGGCAATGTCCTCTCGCATTTTTGGTTGTCATAAGAGGGCTGGGGAGTGCTATTGGCATCTGGTGGGTGGAGTCCAGGGATGCTCATAAACATTCCCCGCTGCACGGGATGGCCCCCCACAACAAAGGATTATCTGTTCTCAACTGTCAGTAATACTGAATCTGAGGAGCCCTGCCTTAGGGGAAGGCATGTAATTGGTTATAATTTTTACCTCCTCCTTAGGATGATGCCAAGATTGGGAGTGTCTGGGCTATTGGAAGGAGGGTAACTTTCTTACAAGTACGTGGACCTACCTTAAATGCTCATGTTGATGAGTCAAAATGTACTTTTTTTTTCCCCAGAGAATATAATTCTAAAATTTCTAGGCTACTACATAGATAGTATAGTTGGTCCTTTTGTTTTTTTTGTTTTGTTTTGTTTTGTTTTAACTCTATTTAGCAAAGTTTTGCACCTCAGATTCTCTGGGAATATGCTGAAGCCTCTTGGGGAACCAAAGGCTTGGCTAAATCTCATGCCTTTCTCAGTAACCCAGGTGCCCAGTGTATCCTTCTAATAAGCGTCACATTCATCGCGTTCCATAAATTGATAATGGACTATGACACCAGCATAAAACAAGATGGCATGATA